TTTAAAACCCTTCATCCGGATGGCCCAGGCTAGGCTGATTTCGTCAGATCTCGGAAGCTAAGCAGGGTCGGCCCTGGTTAATATTTGGATGGGATTCCACTATTCCATCAACTAACCTAGCAGTTCGAAAGCAAGAAATTGCAAGTAGATAAATAGGTACCACTTTGGTGGGAAGGTAACCGCGTTCCGTGCGCCTTGGTGTTTAGTCATGCCGGTCACATGACCACGGAAACGTCTTCGGACAGCGCTGGCTCTTCGGCTTTGAAACGGAGATGAGCACCGCAACCCTAGAGTCGGACTCGACTGGCTTTCAAGCAAGGGAACCTTTACCTTTTACCATTAAGGGATGCCAGGGTCACGACGCAGAGGCAGGCAATGGCAAACCACCTCTGAACGTCTCTTGTCTCAAAAATCTCACGAGGAGTGGCCATAAGCTGGCTGCAACTCGAGGGCACTTTCCACCACCAAAAGGTTGGGACTTTGCACAATATAAAACTGACGGGGGAGGGATTAGTTTGCCCAAAGGACTGTAGTCAAGCGTCTAGGGGCAAACATACTTGCACACAGAGGCACAAGAGGCTCAGAAACACACCGTCCTACTACGCTTGTATTTTAAGAGCTGCCTTTCATATATTTGTAAATTCAGTCCCTACGATGTACTTTGAGCTCCTTCTCCACGGGCAGGGAGCCCTTCCCTTGCTTCGGGCCTGTGCGCTATTGTTCTGCTCTCTTCTATACAGTGAGGCTGTGTGCTGCACGCAAGAGGAATGCTCTTGATTATTGCCACTGGTTTCCACTCCACTGAAAAGGAGTCTTAAAAAGCCCAATGCATTAGAACGCTAAGTGAAACAGGAAAAAAACAACAACTCAGAATGAAATCAAAGCAGCAGCGTAAACTGGTACCTATTACGCCTGATGCAACAGAAGCTCTGTTATGTCACAGGCTCAAATTTCTACATGTAAAAACTCCCCGGTTTCAAAGAAAAGGGATGTGTCAGTTATCAGCCCTCAAACTAAGTGGGCACTCGGCTGTCGGCTTGAAATCCTAGGCTGCAGAATAAAATTAGGGAGGGTCAAACAGACACACCATTATGTCTAGAAGATATAGTCCCTTCAGCTCAGTTTCTCTATAATGCAACAAAAACACCTGTCAGCTTTTGGTCAAGATGTTCAAGCACCATCAATAAGTTTTTTTTAGGGGGTATGTTCTATATTATAAAGTTCAAAACAAAGAGTTGTCCCCCCACTTTCCATACAATTTTATCCAACTATTCCTCCCAGCACATGTGATCATTCATTCCATTTTAATGAGCCACGATATTTTATCAGCTATTCTACTTCTTGCTAAAACTTTTTCCAGTTCTTCTTGCCTTTGAAAGAAATTGCAAAAACAAAGAGAGAGCGAGACAGAAAGAAAGAAAGAAAAGAAAGAAAGGTTTCTCTCTTGTCCTTTGAAGCCATTTTATTGTTTGCACAGAATATCCCCCATAGAATGTGCTAGTCTGAAGCACTATGGCTTCTAAATTGGCCCAGCAAAGAGACAGGTATTTGGAATATGGGCAAACCCAGAAGACTTTGGTTTAAATTCCAATGTTAAACATTCCTGAAGTGTAAACAATTAAGAAATCCATCACAAAACCCAAGAGTATTTCTAAAAAGGTCTGTGCTTGGGACAGTCTTAAGTGACACAAGGCACAGGACTGAAACATCCCTTGCTTAAACATCCTGACGATGGGGTATATGGGTGTCAATATATTGTTGGAGCAAAGTCCACCTCACTGTGCTGCAGGACAGGCTTTGCCACAGTTATAAGCAATGCCTGACCCCCAACTGTTCAGTGGGAGCTCGGGACTGCTGTGTGAATTTCTGAAGGGAGAGCCAGGAAAGTGAAGGCCTGCCTGATCGGTATGCGTGGCCCATACTACCAGAGATATTATAGGAAGCATACTGACCCCATACTGATGTCCCAACTTGCTACTATAGGGATGTCACACAGAGCTTCTAGTCTGTCAGATTCCACTCCATTCATCCTTGCATGGTAGACTGAAGGATTTCTTTGGAAGCTGGTCAGAATCACCACGTACGTTCAAGGAGGTTTGCCCTAGATACGTCCCTGCAGTCCTCTGACCCATTTAGGCATGCATACGAGCACGAGTGTTTGAAGTACTTCCTATATATTATTCAGCCACCTTTCCACAAGGGCTACATCTGCCTACTCACGGTGACGCTCAACAGTTCTCGTGCAGTGCCAGCCGTTCCCGAGAACCCCAGAGGTTTTACGGCGTCTGAGACAGTAGGACCAACGAAACCCTCAACAGGGAAATGTGATGAAACAATGGCAAGGGCAGGATGTGACAGAGGGACAGCATAGTTTGTGGCCAGTTTTAGAGCAGGGAAGCTTGGTATCAAGCTGGACTGGTAGCATGAAGGCTAAAATTAAGTCTTGCAGCCACCCCAACCAGGAGGCAATGCCAGAAGTAGTCGGGGAATGGGGGGGGGGAGAGATGGTAAAGACTCCATCCCCTTTCAGATGATTAAACTGCTGCAACAGTATTGTCAAGAGAAGAACTAATGCCAGAGAACAACAATCTAAGGAGATGTCACCAGTGAGGAATGATGAAGACAACTCCCTGGGCAAATGCATTAGCACGACCTACCCTTCTCTTTGGGAGTGCCAATCTTTGCATGCTCCCAGAATGACAAAGACTGGCAAGAATCCCATGAATATGACACAGACTGCGCATTCCCACCCAACCTCTCGCCTAGCGGTTCATTCAGCAGCTTCTATCCAAAGCACTATACCCAGCGTCTTGGCTTCAAATGCAGAAAGTCAACTGGCCTTTCTACCCACTAAACATTTATCTCAAGCACTCTCTTTTTCTCAGAAGGCTGTTAAAACTCCACTCACACTGCCAGAGGATCGCAAAGCAAAAAGCCACAAGGCAAAAAGCCGTCACGCCACAGTCACCTGAGCTACTTTCTTCGTCCGAGTCTCCCATTAAGAATGTTTTTCTGGGAGTTGGTAAGTGTCCGGAATGAGAAGGATAGCTGAATACATATTTCTAGCAGAGACCAAATGGGCTACAAATTGAAGAAGGTTCTGTCCCGCATCTCATCATGGCATCATCGGTTCAACAAGAAGAGAAGCTACCGACAGTTCTGAAAGTAGGAGCTTAACATAAAAAGATACGGGGGGGGAGGGGGGAGTTACCATTTCCTTTCATTACCAGATCATGGTCTCCCCCCCCCCCCTCAAATACTGGGAAAATAACAAAAATCTTTTGGCCACATGCAAGATGGGGAGTGGTGGAAAATAAGAACATAAGAAGAGCCCTGCTGGATCAGACCAGTGGTCATAAGAACATAAGAGACGCCAGTGTTGGATCAGGCCAAAGGCCCATCTAGTCCAACACTCTTGTCACACAGTGGCCAAAAATACCAGGTGCCATCAGGAGGTCCACCATTGGGACCAGGACATTAGAAGCCTTCCCACTGTTGGCCCCCCCAAGCACCAAGAAGACAGTGCATCACTTGCCCCAGAGCGCCTATCTATACCTTGTGGCTAATGTGGTCCATCTAGTCCAGTATCCTGTCTCACACAGTGGCCAACCAGTTCCTCTGGAGGGCCAACAACAGGGCATAGAGGCCAAGGCTTTCCCCTGATGCTACCTCCTGGCTCTGGGACTCAGAGGTTTAGTGCCCCTGAATGTGGATCCAGGAAACTTTACCTCTAAAGCAGAGAAATTAAAAGACAGCCCAGTCGCAGCATCTGGCCTGTGATATTTCTTTTGCGTAGCTCTGACTGTCCATGCAATAGTGCCCCGTTCTCTGCTCTGTGGGCATGAAAGACCTAAGCTCTCTCTCTGAAAACCCCTCTTTCCCCACGGATGAGCAATGAGTTCACCGTCACGTAGGAGCTGGAGTTGTACTGGGGTTCTGAGCTCTGCATTCCCATCGTTAATGGTGGCCTCGGATCCTCCAATCCCTAGGGAAGAAGTGATACAGGTACGATAATTAGAAATGATTTTTTTAGCACTGACAATGAATTTTTTAAAAAACCTATTTTCTTTGTGTGCCCAGGCTGCTTCCAAGCATCTTCCAGCAGTCCTCCTCCTATGCAGAATATAAACCGATCCCTTAAGAGTGCACACACTCTTCTTTTGGCCTATAGATTATTTTGGCTTGTCTAAAAAAAGCAGAGTTAGGGATGGTATGTGTGTGTATGTGTTTGTGTGAAAAGAACAGCCTATCAGAACATTCAGGTATAGCTGGCTGATTAACTCGGGATTGAACCCAGAAGATTATGGCAGAGCTCCTACATTTACAACTACTTCAGACACACTGATTAGCATGCAAAAAAAAAAAAGTTTCAGCTCTGTCAGATGGCATCAATTATCCCCAGGAAGAGTGGAAGGGCGGACAAAATTATTGGTAGTTTAAGTTGTGCTTTAGTTCAGCACCGCGGATAGTTCCCTGCAGACAGAGCTGCTCTTTCCGCCAGAGCAAAGCGGAACAGATGGCATGAATAGTCCCCCCCCCTTGTAAACATTCGCTCAGTTCCAACAAGCAGGACGAAAATTCTGATTATCGATTAAAAAAAAATGCATAGGTATAACGTTGTGGTAATATCCCATCCTGTCCCGTCCCCCTCCGTATCTGAGAGCAGGCAACATTCTGGAAGCCTCCATCATATAGCTGGCTGGGAAGCAGAATTAGCCACAGGCACTAGTGATCGTTCTGTTGATCGCCGTGATTCACTAAGACAGATTTTCCTTTCTCCCACAAGAATACCCTTGAAATCTGCAACCACAAAAGGGCCTCCCTTCCAGAGGCCCAGCTATTTTCCTGTGGCGCACTGCCGAGTTAACGCTTTCTTGAAGAAGCTCTCTTCCCACGTGCGGTTGCAAAAGGCAGGCAAATTTGAGAGGTCTTCTTTGGCTCAGATATCCACACCAGTGGCGGCAGCAAAAGCCCTCATCTTGTATGGTCAACGATGCCCTCTACTTGGGTGGTATTACTACCAAAGGCGGGCCTCGCTTGGGCCTCCACATAAGGACCTGGGCATCATTGGCATTAGGTTTCACTAGTGCGTTGGGCGGGATTGGTTCCATTCTGTTCAGAATTCTGGGCTGCTCCTGCTGAGTTCTCCCCACTAGCCGGGCACGCTTGCCCAAGAGCTGCAAAGGGTCCACCTCAATGTCCACTCGCATCCTCCATTTTATAGTCTGCAAGATGATTTTTTCCTTGGTGGTCATGTTCATAGCTACGAGCCACGTCGTAAAGCTCTGGTCCCGTTTGATCCTGGTGAGCAGCGGCACATTGCTGTCACTCACAGGGACGGCCCACGTCACGCTGGGATAGAAGTTGTCATTCATGCTGACCGAGAACCGGGAGATCTTGTTGGTGGGGCCAATTAAAGTCACTGTTTCGGTGGTGTTCCCATACCAAGGGTAGCTGACGCCATCAGAGTCACTGATGGCTTTTACTCGCCCTTCTCTCAAATCCGGGAGTTCCCAGCTTGACCTGTCGGAGGACAAAGCAGAAAGCAGATTAGAAAAACAGGAGTACCAGCTAGCTCGTGATTCCTCTAGATCAGGTGTTCAGTTTCACCACCACCTTTTAAATTAACAAAATTGGTGAAAGCAAGGAGGGGGAAAAACAGGATCTGAACCAGAATCCAGGTTTGAATTGCCACTCTACTGCTGAAGCTGGCTGGTTGGCCCAATCATTCTTGCCCTCACTCTAACCTACCTCCCCAGGGTAATTCTTGTGAAGATAAAATGAAGGAAATGGTGTTGTCAGCTACTTTGGGCCCCGACAAGGGAGAAAACTGGGCTAATATCTAAAGTAAAATCAAAGGTGGTCTGAGGTTTTGGGTTGGGATTACAGATATCGCCGCCACCAACTATACCATCATTAATGTTATTAGAGCCCATTCCCTGGTTTTCATTGTTTACATCTAGTGCCAGGGCCTGGTGCATATAACAATCAAGGAGCTGTGAAGCACTGCAGATTGTAGATGATATCAATGATTGTACCACCATCTTTTAATTAATTATATCTATTTAGCTGGCACTTTAAGATTATGGATTGTTTTAAATTCCTTTTATCTATGTTATCACTGTTTATTTATATTTTATCTTTGTAAGCCACCCTGAGCCTGCCTCGGCGGGAAGGACGGAGTATAAATTCAACTAATAAATAAATACATATAGTTCCAGATCATTTATGAATAAATTAAATAGTGCCAGCCCCAATACCGATCCTTGTGAGACCCTACTACTTACCTCCCTCCATTGTGAGAACTGTACGTTTGTTCCTACTCTTTGTTTCTTGTCATGTAACCCATTTTTAATCCATAAGAGAACCTGTCTTCTTATCTGCTAAAAAGCACAGTGTAGTTCACAGAATGTTCTTTTCTCATAGCTCAAGTTATCTTGCTTTAAATGTTGCAGATCTCGTGCTCTCTCTGAGTTATTTAACAGTATCATGCAGACTCAGCAAAGATTGTCTCCTGCTTGCCAATCTCCCGTTGTCTCCCGGTGAGAACTTGAACTTTGACCTGGGGAGCCTGAATTTTGACCTGGGCATGCCTCGCAGAGACTTTGTTCAGACCCCACAATAAATAAATAAATAAATAAATAAATAAATAAATCCCAGACCTGAGAAAACTGAGTATGGCTCCTGTAGATACCAGAGGAATTGGAGCAGGACATGTTACGACATTCCCAATAGCAGATACCATTTAAGTAGCTTGCATTCGTTACTGAACAGCCTACTTACGCAAACAGCATCTTCCCACTGATGGTTTTTGGAACTCTCCTACCCAAGGAGAACTTCCTAGAGAGGAAGCATACTGAACTTGCCCGCTATGTAAAGAAGTGAAGGCTGGGAGGAGGAACAGAAACAGGAAACACCTCTGACGAAATATTTTCTTCTTTAGAACGATGTGTGAAATGCCGTTTTTTAAGGCAAGCTTTCTAAAACACTGTTTTAGCTATGCTTTACTCTCCCCAAATACTTTTTTTTTGGCTGCCAAGTCGCACTCGACTTATGGGGACCATGTACGTTTTTCAGTGCAAGAGATGTTCAGAGGTGGAATGCCATTGCCTGCCTCTGCATAGTGACTCAGATATTCCTTGGTGGTTTCCCATCCAAGTACTGACCAACGCCGACCCTGCTTAGTTTCTAAGATTTATTGAGACTGGGCTAGCCTGGGCTATCCAGGTCAGGGCCCAAATGCTTTCTAGCGGCTGTATAAAAGAGTGTAGTAAACCTCTGAGTGGTGAAGAGAACAATTTCACTCTGACATGGGGAACAGAAAAAAACCTCTACCGACCTTGTGGTTAATGTGCACTGGAAGACTGCTTACCAACCACAGTGGGTCAACCACCTGAGAATCGTCCTTGCCATAGTGACTCATGGTGTAGTAACATCCAGCCTTGACTACTACAGTGGGGTTGTATAAGGGGCCGCCTTTGAAAAACCTTTGGAAATGTCCACAGGTCTGAAAATACAGCTGGCAGGTTATTAATCAATCAAGTTTCAATCAAGTTTATTACGGTCATAGACCAGTATAGTAGAAGACAAGTAAGTACAGTTAAGAGAGCAGTAAAATTATAAAATGTAATGGCATCTAAAATTATAAATAAGGATCTAAAAACTTTAAAATACAGAAATAATAAAGTCAAAATTATGATCAAAAGTTAGGTTTAGGCCTATCTGAACTTTATCTCTTTCCTAGTTTGGTATGCCAACCAACCAAATTTGGCAACCATCCCAGTCAGCTTTTGATTATCTCCTGCCAGCATAATTGACAAAAGTATCCTTCTATTACGACCTGGAAAGGAGTTAACTATAGGCTTGATCAAAACTGACGTGGGGAACAGAAAAAAACTCTACCGACCTTGTGGTTAATGTGCACTGGAAGACTGCTTACCAACCACAGTGGGTAAACCACCTGAGAATCGTCCTTGCCATAGTAACTCATGGTGTAGTAACATCCAGCCTTGACTACTACAGTGGGGTTGTATAAGGGGCCGCCTTTGAAAAACCTTTGGAAATTTCCACAGGTCCGAAAATACAGCTGGCAGGTTATTAATCAAGATGTGGTTAATCCTCTCTCTCCCCAGGCTCAAAGATCTTCACTGCCCTCCAGTCTGTTTCCTGGCAGAATTCAAAATGCTGGAATTGGCATTTAAATGGTTTGGGAATAGGAACAACTTATTTTTATGGATCTGCCTGGCTGTGGAGAGCATCATTCGACAACCGTCTGTGAAGCTGGAATGGAGGAGAACTTCTACTAGAAACAAGGCCTTTTCTGTGGTGGCCCCCAGCTTGTAAGATGTGCACCTGGCACCACCTTAGCCATCCTTCAAGCATCAGGCAAAGTCTGTTTTCTCGTGTTTTTGATAGCTCCCCGCCGCCTATTTTGTGTCTGCATTCCTCATATTTTATATCCATGGCTTCGGTGCTTGCCTGTTATGCACCATTCTCCTGCGGGCTTTTTATCTGCATGCCTGCTGGCTGTCACCTTTTGTGATCCACTTTTGAATATGTAATAGACAGAAAAGTGGTGTGTGCATTTTAGAAAGAAATCAATGCGTAATGTTGCCAGGTGACAGCGGAATAAGAAAAGAACACGCACATCATGGCACGGAGAGTAGTTCCTCTCTTCCAAGCACTTTCAACTCTCTTAAAAGCTACTGTCACTTTCCAGTCTTTGTTTCCAGTCTTTCCTGAGCTCTTTCAATTGGCAAGAGGTGCTTCAGCGCACTTTGCTGCCTGCAAAGAGTGATTAACACATGGAATTCACTGCCACAGGAGGTGGCGGCAGCTACAAACACGGACGGCTTCAAGAGGGAATTAAATAAGCATATGGAGCAGAGGTCCATCAGTGGCTATTAGCCACAAGGTATAGATAGGAACTCTCAGTTTGGGGCAAGTGATGCACTGCATTCTTGGTGCTTGGGGGGGGGCACAGTGGGAGGGCTTCTAGTGTCCTGGCCCCACTGCTGGACTTCCTGATGGCATCTGGTATTTTTGGCCAATGTGTGACAGAGTGTTGGACTGGATGGGCCATTGGCCCGATCCAACACTGGCTTCTCTTATGTTCTACCAAACAGAGAGTATTTGTGATTACTGGGTTGGATCCAACAAACTTTTCTGCCAGTGAAAAAGGACAGGGGAAGGTCACTTTCAGCCACTGAAAAAGGACTACATTGGGGATCACAGGATCTGCATGAGATGGGAGGGGAGGCTCAGTGAGCCGGGGAACGGTGTGAGGCAGAGTGCACTTTTACGAGACAACACAAATATCCTCGTCAGATCCGTACTACAGAAAAGCAGCAGAATTTCCAGAACAGCTGGAGGAAGAGAAATATACGGGCAGAAGAGTTATGGGAAGTGAGATGATGTAGAGAATTTGAGACTCCTGGCGGAAACGGCCAACGAAACAGCACATCGATTGAATGCATGCAGTTCTGACCAATGTTCCCTCTAAGATGAGTTAGTGTGAGCTAGCGCACAGTTTTTTAGCCTCCGGCTCACACATTTTTGTCTTAGCTCAGGAAGGATGGATTCCAAAGCAAACTGATGTATGCAGTAGCCAAATCACTCGCTCACAGTTTTAGTGGCAGTAGCTCACAAAGTTGGATTTTTGCTCACAGGACTCCACATCTTAGAGGGAACATTGGTTCTGACGACTGTTGCCCTGACCTGCACGGCCCAGGCTAGCCCGATCTCGTCAGATCTCGGAAACTAAGCAGGATCGACCCTGACTAGTACTTGGATGGGAGACTTCAGAGGAATACACAGGGTGCTATGCAAAGCCAGACAATGGCAAACCACCCCTGAATGTCTCTAGCCTTGGAAATCCTACGGGGTCACCATAAGTTGACTGCGACTCGACCGCACTTTCCACCAGCGCCACTCAATATATTACACAGCAACCACACCAGCTTGATTCAGTGTAAGTATCCAGACTCCAAGTCAAAAGGACCAAGTTAGTGTGATTCTTTAATAAATCAAAAAAGGCTGACACAAGGCACTATTAACTAACTTTCAATTTTTTAATTTAATATATATATATATATATAATTATTTAACTTTCAATTTTTATTAAAAATCTAAAATTATATAAAAATTAAAAGTATTTATTGGTATATTAATGTTGATATTATTTTTGTAAGATGTAGATCTTGTTCAGATGAAGTCGTAAACGAAACGGAAACAAACTCTGGAGATTTTCGTCAACCTGCTTCAATCTTCTAGTGATTTTGTATCTGTAAAATACAACCAAGAATTGTCATTGTATGGAATCTGATAACTTGTTGATTATACATGGAATAGCGCTTTGTGTCAGCCTTTTTTAATTTATTAGTGTACCTCTGGGCTGTTATTTTGGTGGTAGTATATTCTTCAGTAGTGTGATTCTTTAAAGCAGTCAGGTGCAAACAGTAGGTAAGTAGAAGAAGAGAAGAGTTTGGCTTTATATCCCGCCCTTCACTCGGAGTCTCAGAGCA